GATGTTTCACATTAAAAAAAAATAAAAATATATTGTAATATATTAAACAAAATTTATAAATATTCAAAATAGACAACATTCACCTTAATAATTCATCAAAAAAAATTCATTCTTCTAACGTTTCTGTTATTGTTATGTTTGTATTTGAAGTAATTTTATTTTTTTATCGTATTACTGTAAAACGTGCTAAGACAGTTTAAATTTGACATTCAGTATTTTACATACTTCAAAGTTAGTTTTTATTTGTCAAATCTTTTAATTTATGTGACTGTTTTAATCTATTTTTACTTCATTTTTTTGGAATGTTCAAATTGATTTACAGTTTACTCCTGATGAAGCTATCAAATAAATAGCGAAATATTGAGTTTCTTAGAAAAAACAAAGACTTTTATTAGAGACCACTGCACCTGATGATTCCTACACATTTATAAATTATTTTTTGGTCGAAATAATGACATTTAATGGAAGAAAAAAGAATGGGCGAGGATATTAGCAGAATGGATAAGAACATGAGAAAAGTGGTGATGTTAAGCGAAAAATATGGAGTTTTTAACATCAATTAACAGCATTAAGAACCCAAAGGAAATAGCATAATAGTAATAGTAGCTCTCCTTTCAGGAGAGCTACTATTACTATTTGATTGATTTGTTCTTAGAACCATGGATGGGACCATGGCTCTTAACTTTCTCAATACAATGGTGTACTATATACGAGCTCCACTCACTCCACGACAAAATATTCCACTGATGTCCACCTTTGTTCCATAATCGGTAAGAGATTCTTCTGAAATCTTCAAGCATGTGTCCGTATTTACGGTCCTATCGATAAAATGAAAATGCCTCCCACTTTTAGACGTCACTTTTTGATGCCCCCGATCATGACAGACGCAAGAAATTTGACTTTTCTCCTTGGATACTTGAGATAAAAAGATCCTTTTTTTTTTCAGCGTATAACGCGACTTCTATTGCCTCCAACACACACTTCAAATCTGGACTCATCACCTCATTATTTTACATTCCATCGTGAAAGTGTTAAATGTTCTTTGATCATTTTATCATATTTTTCTTTCGTCGTAATGTTTAAATGTTTCTTAATCTGGAACAAAATGAATTTTTGAAAAAGAATTCGTACTGATTTTTTTCAACTTATAACTTACTTTATCCAAATACTAATCTGTGGGCCTAAACTATATCAAGTTTTAATTTGTGCACCTCTCGGTGACTGTTGATCTAGAAACGTTTTTGACGTTTTAAGTTTTGTGACGACCGAACCTATAGTTTCCTATCTGCTAGCTATATCTCTTATACTATACCATGACATATTCGCGATATCCGATTTGGATTTTTCAGAATTAAAAATTCTAATGATGATTAAACAACTTTACTCTTCGATAACATTCATCATCATTATCAGCTATTTCATTTATTTCTGTTGTTTTTTGCATCCATTCATAACTAGCCATTTGTTGGACCCATTTTAAAACTCACAAACGGGAATAAGTTACAATATCACAAAATAATGTGACATTAATTGACAATTGTTGTTTTGATGCCATGTTTTCTATAGCTACCTCTGATTTTAAGGTAGTTATGAAAAAATCAACATTATTTTGATGTGCATGTAGATTATGGTTTGTTTATGGTAATCGCCATAAACCGCAAATTCCGTAGGTGGGCCAACTGGCATAGGAAGGGGCTCGTAAATATAAAAGTGGAATATAAGATTACAATGAAATGTATATTATTTATTTTTATAATTATCCATAGGTTTCCCTAGGTTATATCAATTTTAATCTCCGTCGCCAGCTTTTCTTTGGTCTTTATCTCCCACGCATTCTCTTGCATGCATCTCATATAATTTCTTTTTAATTGCCTAATATTATGTCAGTCTTATGATGATAGCTTTATGTAATTTTCCTTTTAGTTTGATTATAATCTTTCCGTCTGGACAATAGCTTGCTTCCTTTTGATCCATTCCGCCCGAACACCACTGCATGCGTCTCCATTTCTCCATTGCATTATCCTAGATCACTAGATACTTAATAGTTTGCGCGATAATTTCACAATCCAAAGTTATCTTATTTGTAGTAGTAACTCCATATTTAATTAAAAATTCAACTATACCTTAAATATCATGCAGATAATGAGATATCTCACTTGAGATATCTCACTATCAGCATACAATAAGCGTCAAGGAAAGTTAACTCGAAATTTCCGTACTATCTGATCCAACATACTCACCATCTTCTTTCTTAATGGGTGTCTACCATAGAGCTACCATATGATACGCTTTCTTGCAATAAATTAATATCGTATGAAAGTTTGTTTCTTTATCCTATGCTTTTTTTTTGAAAATACAATTTTAGAAAGTGAAATAAACTAGGTTATCTTTATTTTGTTACCAGCAAACCTTATTTATACTGAGATCCGCGAAATTACACATTTTTTTCGGACTCCTGCGACGGGCGAAGTGATCGAAAGCTCGGCAATAATTGAGTAGCATATTAGCGACTAGTGTTAGTGCCATCTACTATTTAGGTAGACTTGCACCTATCATTGTGATGTTTAACGATTTATACATCTAATGCCGGTAACGTTTCACCATAATTGGAAGGTTTCAGCATGTAAATTTATTCTCAACATATCCTGTCTGTTAAAAAGGAGATTCTTCTTCTTAAAGTGTCATTTACGTGGGGAGGTCGGCAATCATCATAGCTATTCGGACTTTTAAGACGGCTGCTCTGAAAACTTCATTTGATGGAAAAATTTCTATTTCTTTATTCATCCTTCTCACAACCTCTTTGTTTGTGACGTGTTCTGTCCACGATATTTTCAGAGCTTTTCTATACATCCACAGCTCGAATGATTCCAGGTTTTTTATTGATGTCACATTCAAGGTCCAAGATTCCATTCCATAAAACAAAGTCGAAAAAACATAGTGCCTCGCCAACCTAACTCTTAGTTCCAATTTTAAATCCCTTGTACATAGCACTCTTCTCGTTTTGTTGAAATTTGCTCTAACCTTTTCTATTCTGATTTTGATCTCCCTGATTTTCGATATTCTCATAAATTTCGTCTTCTTGATGTTCATTGTTAGAGCGTACTCTTTTCCATACTCCGCTATTCTGGTCACCAGTCTCTGAAGATCTTCAATATTTTCGGCTAAGATCACAGTGTCGTCCGCATATCTAATGTTGTTAATGGGAACTCCACTTACCTTTATTCCATGTGTTTTGTATAGTAGGCATTAAAAAGAATTGGCGAAAATACTCATCTCTGTCTCACTGCACTTTTATTTTCCATTTCTTCTGACAGCTGTTCGTTAATACCTACTTTTGCTCACTGTTTATAGTATAAATTTGATATGATCCTGAGATCGTTGTAGTCAATCTTCTTTGATTTCAGGACATTCATTAATTGTTGTCGTGCTTTATCGAATGCTTTATTATAGTCAATAAATCATACGTATATATCTTGATTTTACGTCCAGGCATCTTTGTATCAGTATATCAAGTGAAAAAGATCTTCACGCGTTCCTAGGCCTTTTCGAAAACCAAATTATGTATCATTAAAGTCTATGTCCAGTTTGTGATATATTCGGTTGTGGATGACTTTTAGTAGTCATTAGTCCCCTTAAAAAGGGGATTGTCGAGTCACAGTTACTTGATTATCGTTTGTCATTTATAAGTAAGAAATTGTACCAAATAGAGAAAAAGGAAAACAGACAAATAAATAACACCCTGAAACGGTAAAGTAATCAAGGACTTCAAAAGCACAGTACTTAAAAACGAGAGAGAAACAAACATAATATTGCAACATTTAAAACAATAATTTTGATAGCGACTTCTGATCTGGAGCCGAAGCGTCAAATGAAACATGTCCAATTTTGCAATAATGGTTTATTGTCAATTATATAATTAATGAAAATTGGCATGCATATGTAATAAACGACATCCGATTCGTTTTAAACTTTTTCACATGTCTTATTTCATAATTTCTCAATGAACTTCATCCAGGAGTTTATGCAGTATTATATTTCGGTTATCCCTTTATTGGAAAAGTCTATAGTGCTTAAGAAGTAATAGGGCAGATATTTTTAAGATTATTCACGGCATACAAGAAAAATACCAATTGTATTAAGCTTCAAACACATTATTTTTTTGTTTTTTCGATTCGACAAAAATCTGATTTCCTACTGATCTAACCAAGCCTCCTGTCCCTTAGATTTGACATAATATTCATAACACAGTATTAGTAGGACAAGGCTTTAGATTTGCAAAATCATATACCGAAGCCACCTTTATAACCGGAAAATAGAAAGGGGAAGCTCTTGAAAACTAGCATATCTGTGCTTTGTGAACCTGAGAAACGCTTTCGTGAGGTTAAAACTGTATATACACAAGAAAAATAATTACAAATATCGAAAATAACAATAAAAAGCAAATATAGAAGAACTAACCAACTTAATTGAAAATTGGGATAAGACGAAAGTATTAAAACAATACATATCCGGTGGGAAGAATCCAACTTAAAATAATATGCTAGCTAGATAGACGATTTCAAAAATTCACGAAAATACTGATGTGAGAACAGGGAGAATTTTGGGAACCGCAGTAATGAAAACTCTAAGAATACTTTAAAACGCTTAGGAATAGAGCAAGGATTATATACGTAATAAAAAACATTTATGAATATCTGAAGAAAAGAACAGTTGAGTGAAGATTATCAATATTGGTCAGTTTTATGAATTGTTACGAAAAAAAAAAACATGATTTTTACATTAAAAAGTTGTTGGAGATTCTTTCAATGTATGTTCGTATGGTAAGATGGAAAAACTCTGTTTTTAACATTATTGCCAATATATTGCGTTTTTATTGAACATTATTTCTTTTACATAAAGTGTTCTGAAAATATTTTTCAAGCTGTTAATTTTACATTTCGTCGTCTTTATGTTATTTATTCTTATCCAATAATATACTTATCTGTTTTGTTTACTTCTAGGACCTGAGGGGGGCTATCCGGTGTCGACACCTCCTGGGCCTTATGTGCAACCGCCGACGAATCAGGGCGGCAACCAGGGTCCGACTTTGAGAGGGCCCTCCGGCCCACCAAATCAATCGTCAACACCACCTAATGCGGCCGATATTAAAGTATCTACATTACCTCAACAACCTTCGTTAAATCATATGGTAAGTATTGTAGTATTTATATTTTTACAACATAGAACTTACTTCGTCAATAAACACAATAGAACAAGTTTAAATATACAAGGTGGTCACTATCAAGGGCGGAGGTATGATTTTAAAATAATTTTGAAACATAAAGGATATCCCAAATAAACTGTGGGAGTCATGTGTGCATTTTATTGTAATCTTCGACTACATAAGGCATTGAAGATGATCTGATTAGATCGAAAACGTTATGATACTACATAAATTTTGACGACACTTTTTTAAAAAGTTTTAACTATATGTTCTTATACCAAAATACAAGTGTCGGTGTTTTAACATCTGTATGTTTTCTTACTCTTAAAATGTTTCAATGATGATGGTCTGGTCAACTGGACCGAATACCGTGAACTTATCATTTATGATCATATTTCGAAGCGATTAAAGCAAGAAAATAGGATCATTTTACGATTTTCCCAAATAAGGATGTTTTAGAACAGGTATCGCCTGTACTATTGGTGGTAGTGATTATTGTGAATGCTTGTGTTTATATTAGGCAATCTCGTTTTTAAATCTTCTAAAATAGGGAATCACTTATTTATTTGTTAAGACTTTAGCGCCCAAAATATTTACTCAAAATATTTTTGTTGAAATCCGTAAAAGTGAATGCTTGTAACACAATATTTGATTTGTTTTATTTTTAGAGTAGTTAATATTTGATTAAATATGTAGACAGCTATTAATAAAATCATATTTGAAAATATTTATATTCATTGAGACCAAAATATCTGAATTTGTATAATCCGTGATATATATTTTTAAATGTTTCTCCTTTATTCTTCTTGTTCTTTAGAATATATCATGGAATATCTGCTGCTGGTTTTCGTATCATGTCATTTTCGGTTAAACCTCGTGTTTTATATAAATCTAAATTACAATATAGTTTTCTTTGTCCAAATACACACATTACTATCGTCACTAGTGTTACAACGCCAAAGTAAAGTCCCAAGTCTTCTCCAGTAAGTTTTATCCATTCACAACTTTCGACAGTTATCATACCAATTTTCCTATTATCGCCATCCACAGCATCCTTACATATTAAGACTTGGCCCACCACTACGATTATTTCCGACCTCTGATACAAGTGAGGGGTTCCATTCCAAAACTCGCTTTGTCCACTTTAAGTAATATTTCACAATTCGCGAAAAGCGTTTTACTAGAACTACCGAAATTAGACAACTTGATGCAGGATTGCATTACTTATTTAAATCCTGTATAATTCATTTCGACTAAATTCGACAAATAATGATGGACAAGACAAGTTTTGGCATGAATGCTTGGATAAGACAATTTATGGACTGATAACATGCATCATTTTATTTTATATGCAATATAATTTATTTTTATTAATTTTAAAACATTGGTTTTATAATAAGGAAATATGGTTTATTAGGATATTCTAAATTCTTGGCAAAATGTATTACTCAAGGACCCCTTCGCAAAACCTATTCGTTTCGGTCTCTTCATCTAATCTTTCAATAATTTTGGCTAGTTCCTCGAAGAAACTTTTTAAAAACAGTTACATCTCCCCGCTCCACCTAATGCTCTCCAAAGATGGATGGAGTCTAGTAACTTTTTGATGTCCTCAACTTTGTATCTATTTACTGCCACACCTTTGAATCTCAATTTACATTTGGTTTGCTCGTTTCCCACATTTAAAAATTGGTTTTGACTCTTCTATATCGCTGTCTCTAACTGTTATTTTATCTTCATTTTTTTTCAATTATAATTATTTTGGCAGTTGAAAGCTTGAAATGCTAGGACTAAACACTTTTCAAGTATTGCTTTGTCACTTCCTTTCAAGACTTCACTACACAATCTGTCAATTTAGTAACGGTTTCCTTTTCCATAAAAATATCAATATACATTTCGGGGCTAGTAATTTGTAGTTGTTAATATTTCCTAGTACCTCCTCATCCAGACATATTCTCACAGGTGTCATCAAATATTTATCCTGGAAATATTTATTTCGGAAGATAAGTAAAAGGTTGTCATCTGCTATGGAGATGGTCCATGTTTCCGGTTGCCTGATTTACTGGTTGGTTTGTTTATTATTGTTCTGTTAACGAGGTTATAGCAATAATCCTTTATTATTATCTCCAAATGTTCACCGACATCTCGTATTATGTCTTTTAAGATCTACACCTAAAGTACATATTTTGTTTTTTGTGAACCTAAATTAAACACGAGAAGAAAATCTTAATATTCGTTTTCAGTTGTAGAGCAACAGTGTTGATGACCTATTTCCGGTGTTCAGAATGAGAAATGGTTCTTTCTTGCAGACATTTTAGCATACTTCAGGTCATAGTACTCTTACAGTTTGACGTGTATTTTACTAATATAAATCTCTTTAAATGTTACCTTCAAATGAGTTCAAAAGTTATTAAACATTTCTCGTTCTTTTTAGCAGGATATTATGTTGTAATCTATGATGTCCAACGAACTTTTAGTTTAATTCTGCTACTCTGTTTTTTACTTTGTAAATGACTTAACACGTAAATGACTCAACCTTTAACACTTAAATGACTCAATCTTTATCGATGTCGACTGGACATTTATAACGCTATAAAACGAAATTATCACTTTACATAGTGTGGATGTCTCTTTCCTCATCATAAGACGAGAGCCAAGATTCTAAAGTGGCTGACTATGAAAGAATCAGATTTATCAATCTTTGTCGAAGCAGGTACTAATTCGGTGTTGAAGGAAATTGTAGATTTTTGAGTTTGAAAATTAACTTTATATTCTTGATCACAGTTTTATTTTTTACAAAACTTAAACAAAATAATCAATTGAAAATTTATAATGAGAATATGCTTGTATAATAATTCGAGGGGAAGACGTAAGAACGAGTATACGTGGACCGCTGTGACACTGGTGGGACTTTGAGAACCGAGTGAGGATGTTACTATAATTCATTGTCAGTTTGAACTCTATTTGGGTGTTTTCTTGGATCTTGGGTTTTGATGTCCCGCTTTATGTTTTCCACCTCTTCAGGGCGTGGTTTGTTTTTTGTGTGCCTGGTGTTTTTCTTGGTTTGTGGTTCCACTGGTGTTTTGGCAACTGGTCGTCGGAGAAGCGCTTGGACAATCAGAGGTAAAAGGCAATGGTTAAACTGTTTTTTCCAGAATTTTTGATCTAAAAAATAAATTAGTATATATGTGAATATATAAATTTACAAATTGATAAATTAATAAATGTATGGAAAGCGATCGCGTGAGGGCAGCGGTGGCTGAATCCTCTACAATACACAGGTATCGTTGTGCAATGGGATCGGGAAATCACAGAGAACCCCCCCTGTACAGACAAGCTCGAAGTGAGCATTTAAGGTTAATGGCGACGGCGATAGTAGAGGGGAGTTGCCTCCTGTATGTCAATGTATTCATCAGGGAGTTCATTGCTGGCAACAGCCAGTAAAATAGTGGGAAGGAAGGTGATTTTGAGTTTAGATCTTCTTCTAAATACATTACCGATGGATGAGCAGGTAGTTTTTAGGATGCTTTGGGCTATGAGGTTTTGGTCCCGGATGGTGCTGATTGTATAACTCCTACTCAGTGAGGAAAGCCTCTCATTGATGGGCTGGATGTTCGACAGGTGATGTATGAGGGCAAAAGGGTAATCGTGTCGCTTGTTGTTTACTCTACGCAGGATTCTCCTCTCTAATGCAAGCAATTTTTGTGTAAGTTGGTCGCGCACCGTAATATAGATATTGGATTTATACTCGATGCCCGGCCTAATAAATGTTTTATATGTATGTGTGATCTTGGATGTTTTCTACCGAATTTACAACAAAGAGCATTGAGTAGTTCGAGTCCGCTTCTAGCTTTGTTACAGGCTATGTCTAGATCGGTCTTCCAGTTCAGTGTTTGAGTAAACACTACACCGAGGTATTCGATCCGGTCACGGAGCTGCAGTCGGTCTCTCCAGAGTCTAAGATTGTGTCGTTCGAAGATTATGGGTGTACTGAATTGGCTACGTTATGGATGTCTGAAGAGAATCATTTGAGTTTTATTTGGGTTGGGTGTTACTCTCCATTTCCGACACCACCTGTCGACCAGGTTAAGGTGATTTTGAGCATACCCAAGTACTGAGTCTACGTCTCGTGATGTTACGAGAGCTGTCATCTGCGTAAAACAAAGTGGTTGTGTTTGTGTATTGGGGGTTAAGGAAGTCACTATTGTATATTATGTATAATATGGGAGCCAACACTGAACCTTGTGGTACTCCTGCTGTGGGAATAAAAGAATCAGAGAAGTGACTCCGCTCCTTTACCGTTATTAGACGATGAGAGACAGAATGTTACTCCCCAAATGCGGCAATTTATAGGAAAATTGTTTTAACTGTTATTAGCGCACTTTTTGGACACGGTAACGAATGTTAATGAACATTTTTTATCGTCTTCTAACTTGTAAGCTGGAAACAAAATATTTTTTATGAATTTTAAGAAACCTTTTAGTAAAATATACGACACAAAATAGAAATGTGTGTGATTTATGGTTACATATTAAAGTTGAAGAACAAGTTTACAACGCAGACATAAAGGGTCGTCAAATTACCTGTTTTTTGCGGTGAATCAAGTTTTTAACGATTTAACGAGAGTGACCTAAATCAATGGATGGAACAAAAAATAAGTCGTAGATGCAGGTGTATATTGAAAACAATTTGATTTATGTGACAGTTAACAAACTATCCTTTTTTATAGTAAAATACATAAGTGGATTGCAAAAAACCAGAATGCAGATATGTATTTTTAAAGGTAAATGTTTAATAAAGAAATATATTAGGACCGTATTGAGAAAAATATGTTTTGGAGATATGTTACAAGGCTGTAACACATATATCTAATTTCTAGTCTGAATACGACTTCTTCCAGTAATCTTCCCGGTCTAATAGAAACAAATCCTCCCCTTTTTTAAAAACGCACCTCTTTAAATGGTAGTGGTCCGCGGTTTTTTCACTTT